AAAAAAGTAACAGTACGACATTCACTTTTACTACACAACTTGAAGCACTTTTAATATAACATTGTTATCGGCTTTATCTATTAAATAATGGTGGAGAAAAGTAAGAAGAAAAGAAATGTTTTGCTTCTGTAACACACAATATATAAAAATCCTTTGAAATAAAATATGTTTGTTGAGTTTTTTTAAGGTACTAATAAAGTGATTATTAATTCTAATGGCTATTGGTGAATCTTTGAATGAAAGACGACAGAATCTTCTTCCAAACGAAGTTTCAGATAACAAAGAAGATATTCAATTGATTTGGCTTGATGGGAATATGAATGATTCAGATGATGCTCTTCTCATTCAAACAATGTTAATTGAACTCAATTCAGCTACTCAGTTTTATTCTGACTTTGACCGATGTCTCGATTTAATCAAATCAATCAAAGATGAACAAATCTTTCTTATTGTTTCAGGTGCTTTTGCTCAACAATTACTTTTACAAAGCCATCATCATCGATCTTTGATTGCCATATTTATTTTTTGTGCTGACGATCAGTATTATAAACCATTGAAGCAAGAATATAATAAAATTATTGGAATATTTACTAAGCAATATGATTTATTAGAATCAATTAAAGAAAAAATGAATCTAGTTGAAAAACAAACATTAACATTTACTCTTTTTGATCATAAACAAAAGTCATTAAAAGATTTATTACAGGAATCATCATCATTTCTATTACATCAAATGTTAATTTATGTTCTAAAACAAATGTCTCAAGATGAACAATCAAAAAAACAAATGCTCGATATGTGCCGTGATTATTATAAGAATAATAAACACGAATTAAAGAAGATTGAAGAATTTGAAAATACTTATACTCGTGACAAAGCAATTGAATGGTATAACGATGAATGTTTTCTTTATAAACTATTAAATAAAGCACTTCGAACAGAAGATATTGAATTACTCTTTACTTTCCGATTCTTTATTATTGATTTATGTTCAGTTATTGAACGCGAAAATCATCTTTTGAAAAATGAAGGAACATTAACTTTGTATCGTGGAACACAAATTCCAAATGAAGAATTTGAAAAAATAAAAGAAAACATTGGTAAAACTATTTCAACAAATGGATTTTTATCAACATCAAGAAATATCGATGTGTCACTTCAGTTTATTCATAAAAATACTCAATCAAATGATTTTACATCGGTTTTATTTGAAATTAAAGCAAATCCTTTATTGACAACAGTGATTTTTGCTGATGTTAGAAATAAAAGTCGAATAGAAGGTGAAGAAGAAGTTCTGTTTAATCTCAATTCGCTCTTTAAAATTGTTTCTGTCTATTTTGATTCTACACTTAATGTATGGAAAGTAGAATTGAATGCAACTGATGAAGGTGCAGAAAAAGTTGAAGAATATCTTTCATTATCGAGACAAGAGATGGAAGAATACACACCACTTATTTATTTTGGCCGACTTCTCTTATATGAGTTGGACCAAGTAGATCGTGCAGAAAAATATTTTAATATGCTATTGGAATCACTTCCACATGATCATCCTGACATTGCAACTGTTTATAATAATATTGGATTAGTACATATGGAGAGAGGTGAATTGAATTTGGCATTGAAAAACTATGAGATAGCTTATGAGATGCGTCGAAAACAACTACCATCTAATCATCCTGACATTGCTGGTTCACTCAACAATATTGGTATTATTTATAGAGCAAAAGGTGATCTTAATACAGCACTCGATTATATGCAACAGACTTTGACAATTGATGAAAGCGTACATCCAGGTAATAATCTAGGAAAAGCAATAACAATCGAAAATATTGGGAGAGTATACATGGATAAAGAAGATTTGGATACGGCTCTTACTTATTTGTCTCGTGCTCTCGAGATGTATAAACATGTTCTCCCTGATCAACACTCTCAGACAGCATTATGTCTCGGTGGAATAGGATATGCTCATGAGAAGAAAGGTATTTTAGATATTGCTCTGGATTATTATCAACAACAATTAAATATGGAAGAACAGTGTTTACCTTTCGAACATTCAAATCTTTCAATTCATCTCGGTTGGATCATTAATACTTATAAAAAGATGAATGAAATTGACAAAGCCTTAGACTTGTGTCAACAAAAACTTCTTATTCAAAAAACTAGATTGGGTGAAAATCATCCTCGTATTGCTCGAACATTAATGATTATGACTGATTTGATTAAGGATGACAATCCAGACAAAGCACTAAAATACTATGAACAAGCTCTATCCGTATTGAAGAATTGCACACTCTCTGATTATCAAGCTACTTCTGAATGTTTGACATCAATGGCTTATTTATATTCCAAGAATGATATGATAGAAGATGCATTACGATGTCAACTTAAAGCACTTGAACTCTTTCGTCAAACATTGTCTTCTGATCACACTTACATCGCAATAAGTTTAAGAAATCTTGGCTTATGTTATAAAAAAATGAATAACTTATCGGAAGCACATCGTTATTTCAATGAGAGTCTTTCGATCTATCAAGCTAATTATGGACCAGAACATGAAATGGTGAAAAGAGGTGAAGCAGACATTGCCAGATTGAAAGAGAAACAATTGTCACTATCAGCTCATGAAGAAGAACAAAGAAAATTCAAGTAATAAGAAATAGTCTACAGGAGTTAACAGTAAAGCATGTTTAACTCAACGATCAATGGTTTAGTTTTTCATCGATTTTGTTGTCTCTGTCAAAAGAATGAACAGTTCTATGTAAAACTTCTTGCGTTTGATCAATCTTATGCAAAATAAAATAAGAAATAAACAAATAGAACCTTTTTGAAAGGAAAATAGTAGTAATAGTAGTAATACTAGTAAAAATGTACACATGGCTTTCTCTTCATGTTCGCAGATCAGCGAAGAGATGACAAATATGAAAATATATCTAAATAAAAGTATTATTCAGATGAAACAATATTGATGTAAAGAATAATTTTATATTTTCAATTTGTAAGTTGTTAAAAATTCTAAGAATTCTATCGTAAAAGAAAACTGTAGAGTCAAGATAAACATCTGCTAGTTTATTTTTAATAGTACTTATGGATTGTTGAAATTATGAGAGTTGAATTGGAAGAGGCAAACAAATTTTATCGGCTTGCCGATTATGAAAATTTACATTACTGGATTAAGCTTACTAAAACATTAAAAAGACAACGGTTGAAGGTATCAATCTTTTGAAGGTTATAATAAGAGAAAGATATGGAAATTTAAACGAGTGTACATTTGGTTTATGATCATTGAAGAACTTGTGAAAAGTTCAGAGTTTCTTATTACAATTAAAAATAACATATTTGAACAGTATTTGTGATTTATCTATTATATAAAAATTTACTCTTGTTTTATTCTCTCAAATAAGGCAAAATAGCAAGTTATATTTATATAGTTAGTGGTGTTTACACATATTTCTTAGATGAACATGACTTTGCATACATTTTGTATAGACGCATGGGGAGATAAAAGACAAGAAAGGTGGAAAAAACCAAACGAAAAAGAAAAATACAACCAATAACTTGGGAAGGGAGTTGCATTGAAAAATAACTAAAGACGGAAGAGAACGAAAGAGAGTATATATATGTATGCAAGCGTCTATCATCGACTGATTACATGTAATTAAGTAGTATATAAAAAGCTACCTATATACACATGTAGGTATTTTCTATTCATTAGGGAATATGAAGTTTTTTTGCAGTCTTACATTTACTTGGTGAGTATTATGCATGAAATATCTCCACTTCCTAGTTATTTTAGCTTGTTAATTCTTCTTACTAATGAACTATACATAACACTATCATGTAACTTAATATTCTCTAATTAATTGACTATAGGTATTTGAGTGTAAAGAGTCACTTCCTAAATAATATATTTATTTGTTTATTTTAGTATTTCAGTTTTTACACAGTTTCATGCTTTTTCTTCAGATTTGATTCATCTATTAGATCTTCAGTGTCAACAAATATTGATGTCATCTTTGTGGAGCTTAAGATGGTTATGGATATATCTTTTCATTAGTCAATCTGTTGTATCAAATGTGAGAACGGCTTGGCCTGCATCCGATTCCACTAATATACAATTATTGGGTATTTTTGGCAATGGATTGAATATGAATGATTCCACTCCAGGAACTCTTTGGTCTCGTGCAATGTTCAAGGCAGCAATGTTACTTTCTCAGCAATATAATATAACAATTGATGGACAGTTCATTGGTTCACAGCTAGTAGCAAGTGAAGGTAAAGTAATGACTGCTTTTAGCAATTCATGTCTACTAATATCAACTTCAAACATTGTTGGCATTGTCGGACCAACATTTTCTCGAGAATCTCACTTTATTGCACCTTTCACTGAACAACTTTCCATTCCTATGATATCCTATTCTTCAACAGATCCTGATCTATCGGATCGAGAAGCTTATTCTACTTTTTATCGAACGGTTCCATCAGATAATACAGCTGCATTAACAATTGCTCAACTTTTCATGAAATTTAACTGGACATCATCGATAATTATCTATCAAAATGATGCATTTGGATCTGGTGGAGCAAAAGCAATAACTGATGCATTCAATGACAACAATTTGACAATTACACAAATGATAATGTTTGATACTGTGACACATACTATTCGAGGTGATCTAAAGAATCTCTTACTTAGTAGTTCCATTCGAAATGTTATATTGTGGGCTGAGACAAATCATGCATCTTTAATTCTACAAAGAGCAATTGATTGTGATGTACTTGGACCACATTTTACATGGATATTAAGTTCAACTGTTCAATTAAATTCTTTTAGTCAAGTAGATAATGCAAAGTTAATTGGAATGTTAATTATAGAGCCAGTAGTTGGAAGTGCTGTTAATCAACCAATAAATACAACATTACTAAATGCAGCATACGATATATGGCAACAATATGAACCTGATTCATTTCCTGGACCAGAAAATGTTAATGCTTATGCATTATTTACGTTTGATGCAACTTGGTTATTGATCCGATCATTAGAACAACTTTGTTCAACAACTACTAATCGTCCTTCTCCATGTTTATCAATTGTGAATGATTCATTTTGTTTTAATCGACGATTGCTTAATTCCAGTTCATTATTTGACATAATTAATACTAATACATTTCTTGGTGTATCTGGACTTGTACAGTTTAGTACTAATTCAACAGATCGAGTTAATGGTATTTATTATATTGTGAAAAACATTCAGAGTTTATCAAATGAGTTAAACTATGTTCCAGTATTGGTATGGTCTAGTCTCGATGCTTGGACATCACATTCACAAAAAAATACGATTGTATGGCCTGGACAGTCATTAGTAGCTCCCACAGGTTATGCATCAATTGCAGGTGTAACATTAAGAATTGCTGTTATCGAAGGACCACCATTTACAATGACTAAAGAAGTAGCAGATGGAAATGGAACAATAACAAAAAAGTTAATTGGATATATACCTGATCTTCTTGATATTTTACAAATGAAAATGGGATTTATTCCAAACATTACTTTGTTGTCATCAGATCACAGCTACAATGGATTAGTAGACGATATAGCAAATAATGTTTATGATATAGTAGCAGGTGATGTGACAATTATTGCTGCACGAAGAGAAAAAGTTTCTTTTACTGATTCAATCTATGATAATTCGTTACGTGTCATTATTCAAGATACAGCCTCTGCTAGTATAGATTTCTGGTTTTATCTAAGACCATTTTCACTGAAAGTTCGATTATGTATCTTAGGTACTATTATATTTTCTGCTCTATTGATGTATTTATTCGAAGGAAGAGACAATGCTAAATTAAAGGATAGATCAATCATTTCTGGAATTGTAATGAGTACATGGTATCCTCTCGGAACGATCATGGGACCCGGTGCAGATTTTGAAGTGAACACAGGTGCTGGTCGATTATTAACTTTTAGTGTAATTTTTTTAAGTTTTGTCTTAGTAGCAACATATCAGGCAAGTTTAACCTCTAGTTTAACTCTTAAACAGACACAAAACATTATTTCTGGAATTGATGACATTAAAAATGGCAAAATACCATATGGTCGCATTGGTATCGTTACTTATTCATCGATTGAAGCTTATTATTTACGAGAAATCTCCAATGGTATTCGAAATTTCTATCCATTAAGAACAAAAGAAGCAATATTTACTAGTTTACTAAATAAAGTGATTGATGTAGCCATTATGGATGAGGGTGTTTTAGAATATGCAACTAATAGTATTTATTGTAATTTAACTTTAGTTGGCACAGGTTTTGATCGTAGTGCATTTGGTCTTGTTTTTCAGAAAAATTGGATATATGAACAAGTTTTAGATGTGAACATATTATCATTAAGAGAATCAGGCACATTTGATGACTTGAAAAGTAAATGGTTTCAAGCAAATACTTGTTCTCATTCATCAGACACATCTAATGAATTGTCAATTGAAGTAATGGGTGGTTTATTTGTGACATTTGCAGCCATGTGTGGTCTGTCAATACTATTCTTCATATGGTTAATATTGTCTCCTATAAGACGTCATCTGTGGCAAATAGTCCTAGAACATCTTTGTGGAGTACGTCCATCGACCAGAACACCTTCTGTTATTCCACTCAACGAACTGCGTCCTTCTAATGCTACAGATGCATAAGAACAAAGCTGCTTTTATCTTCCAAAAAAACTGTGGAATTGTAGTTTTATTGATGATTGATTTTAAAATATATATTTACATACATGTTCTTTTATCTTTTCTTCTTCTTTTTGTTCTATATTATCATTTGTTCTTTCCGTTCATTTTTTTCATATGGTTATGATTATTGTCCAACAATAAACAGAGCTCATAGTAACAGTTTTAAGAAGGATAACAGTTTTAGCATATATTCTAATTATTATTATGGTTGATAGAAAAATGAAAGTGATGAAAAATTTTGATGTCTTATAGAGTGAGTTCACTGTTTTCCATAGAGACGACACTTACTTATTTCCTTATTGGAAGTGAAATTGTTCATAATTTAGTCTCATCAGTCGCAATAGAAAACAATATTGAAATGAAAAATAAATAACCGAAATGGTACAAGCATCAACTCCTTTTCATTTTAGTTTTGTTAGACAACTATTCAATCGATAAAATATATAGAAATTTGTATTGATTGAGACTAACCCAAGTCAAAAATAAAATAATCAATTAGAATTTGATTTATGTGTTTATTACCCTTGATAAAAATGAGAGAAAAGCATGATTTTGATTGAAAAATAAATAAATGATTATGATGAAATGTTGAATATGTCATTACACTGGAATTATAATATTGATGATAAAGAATCAGCATTATTATGCGATGTTGTCGTTGTTGATTCTATGGTCTATTAGAAATAAGTGGTAATTGTTTTATTGAATATGAGCAAAGAGTGTAAAAATTGAGAAGTTTTAATCTGCTGATGAGGATGAATGTGTGTATGAGGGCAATCTACACTGTCCATCTAGAATGATTGATACATTATATAAAACTTTTAATAGTTTTCTGTGTTATAGTTTCACAAATAATTTTCTTATCTTAATTATGCTTGAATCTTCTACAATACAACCACTAGACCAGATATTCTAGGAAAAATTCAGACTCATTAATTGAATTAATGAAAATATCATAACTATTCACATCTATAAAACTGCAAAATTCTTATATATATATACTCTTTGAAAAATAAAACTACATGTATAATTTAGTAATAACATTTACAGTATAAAGAATTAAACATGTTACACAAAACAATTTAGTAATAATCTGAAATGCTCAAACATTAAAGGATGCTATTCTGATCTGTTAGGCACATCAAGAAATTCTTAAATAATTGTCTAAATCGGTTACACAGTCTCAGGATTCGAACAATTGATAAATATGTTTGTTGCACGGATAATCGAGAATGTACAGCTACAATTCATTTGTAAACCGTCTAATAGATTAATCAGATATTTAGTATGTTTATATTTTTTGTCACATATTACGGAATATCCAACAATCAGCTATAGAAATTTAACAAAAATAAAAGAAACTACTGTAAATTAAATTACATTACTATATGCACATTCACATCAGGTACCAGATCCTTTCTGTACCACACGATTGAATATTTTTGAAATCTCGATTACTTCTATATTAAACGAATCACTGTATACGTTCATTCATAAAACAATGCTGTACAGTTTTCTAACATACAACACAATCTCATTAAATTATTTATTAATTGCGTAAATAAGGATGTTTTCAACTTTAATTTATTCTCATTTTATAATAAAATATTTTCATTGAAATTAAATAGCAAAGCTAACTACCATATTAATTGGTTGCAGATGAATGATTTTCATACCAATATAAATCAGGAAATTGCTAAGACCCTATCATTTAGTCACATAATGACATGCAAATATTCACTATTTTATTTAAATGTTTTGTTATCATACAAATCAGAATTTTATCATTAATATGTACTACTAAAATATGATAATAACACAGGTGATACGTAAAGAGCTAATTTATCTACGTATGTTTTGCATTGTCGAGCTTTGATAAATTCAAAACTAAATTTTTTTTGAAATAGTTAAAATAAACTGAGATGCTGGGACCGACATCTATCTATTCAGTTAGGTTCATAATTTATTTATATAATACTGAAATATATTTTTGTATATATGCTGAATAATTATGATTCCTATATTTGACTTATTCATTAAATTTCGTTCTGCTTAAATTTTTCGAATATAAGTAACTATGTACATTTATTCAAAGAAACAATATTTGTGATAGTTAGATATATTCTACAGACATTTCTTGTTGTTGCAAACTTATATACATTAGTTTCCATGGTAATAAATATTACATCAATCTGTAGAATACTTTCTAAACTATAATCAATAATATATCAATTAGAAAATTGTTGAGTATTCGATGTTTTCTTTTTGATATTGCTATATATATATATATTCAAAAATAGCATTAATTTTTTCGGGAAAAACAGTTTTTATCAAAGAAAGAAACATTCAGTTAATGATAATAGAACAAGAGAATTGCTCTCATTCAAATATTCGAGATAATTTGTGATGTATTCTACGGTATCCTTGAATGAAGTTTTGAATTCTAACGAGCAATTATATTTTCTAGACTATATTTGATATGATAAATAAGAACGATTTTTCAGCAATTAATATCATTTTAACGAGGTTCGCATTTCGTACAAATTAATCATCGACATACATGATTACTGAAATTTCGGATGTTGATATCATTCTACAATTAGTTTGACTATATTATTATCATGATTATTTTATTTCATCTTACGAGAGAATCTTCCGAGGTGATCAGAGTTTAGCAAGCACCTTTAGATGATAAGTAGACTTCACATCTCACCAAAGATTGACATAAGATCATGAAATTGAAAAGCAAAATTCAATGGATAACTTTTTATAATAAATATTATTTTTTGTGTTTAACAAAAAAAAAACAAATAGAAGCCATTATTCGACACTTTTTAGCTAATTGAATATAGTCAATAAGAGATAGAAAAGATAAATATGCACATATTGTACTTGGACAAATTGTAAACACATACACATATATGTAATAAGAGAAACTAAGGAAGAAAAAGAAAAAACGAAGAAGAAGACGAAAGCAAAGGCACTATATGAAAGAGCAAAATAAATGGACTTAAGCTCAATATGAAACATTGACAAACGGAACAAAAAACCAAAAAAAGTGAAATAATAAGAGATTTTTTGATTATTATTTTACAATCAAAAAGAAAAGAGGAGTACAAAAACAAAACGAGTATTCTTCTATTGAGATCAATTTATAATCGAAATATTTGTTCTTATGTTAAATGGAAAGAAAAAAAAAGAGATATAGTATCATAAGTATGATATATCTGAAAGTGTTTTTTTTGAAATTACAAGTCTTTCAATCGTTGAGGTTTGTGTCGTGTTGAATACCGTAATGATATGTCGGTGCCAACTTCGTCAATTGCTTCCAATGCCTATAATACATATGAAGTTATGATAATTAGAAGATAGAGTATAAAGTACATACCGCATCAAGCATTTGACGTGTATGTGCGGCTGATAAACAAAAACGAACACGAGCTTCTAATAATTTTGTTGCTGGAAATCCAACAGTCACAACGGCAATACCACGACGTAACATTTCACGATTAAAACGAGTAACTCGAGCTGGCATATAAAGTAACATTGGAACTACGGGTGAATATTTATTACCATAAATAATAAAACCCATATCGACTAGTTTTCGTCGAAAATAACGTGCATTATCTGCTAATTGATTAATACGTTTTTGTCCTAGAATATTATATTTGATTTAATGAATATATTTATTTGATATTATTCTTACCTTCTGGACCCTTCAGAAGTTGAAGCGAAGATATAATTTGTTGAACAATAGGTGCTGACATACTTGATGCATAGGTATGCGCATGAGAATTTACACGAATATGATCGATGAGAGACTAAAATTTATAATACATAATGTTATGTATTATTCAATATAAAGACAAAAAACTCGTCTACCTTTTTTCCTGCAATATAACCACCTGCTGATCCAAAACTTTTTGTAAATGTTCCCATAAGAATATCAACATCATTCGAATTGACATTAAAATAATCTACAATACCTCGACCACTTTTACCCATTGCACCAATTGAATGTGCTTCATCCATATATAAATATGCTTTATATTTCTTTTTAAGTTCAATCAATTGTGGTAAACGACAAATTGATCCTTCCATACTGAACAGAATATTCATAAAATATGAAAATTTTCTTTCTTAAATTATACTAACCTATATACACCTTCAACAACAATTATGATTTTTTTCCATGGTCGATTTGTTCGTGAATGACCATGAACAATAGCAGCACGTAATTTTTTTTCCAAATCATTCATATCTATTTATTTTGAATTTTTATTTTTTAGTATAAACAAACAAAAATATCATTTACCATTATGTTCAAATGTTTGATAACAAGCACCCGATAGACGCATACCTAATATAAGCGATATATGATTCATTTCATCACTTAAAATTAAATCGCCCTATTTGAAAATAATATAAGTTTTATTTATATAATTTTGCATTTATATTACTTTTGATGCAATCACTGGTATATTCAATGCATTTGTTGCAAAACCCTGAATAAAAAAAATAGGAGAGTAATCTCTTTTATATTTCTATAAAAAAATATTAACAAACCATGCCAAAGGCAATACAACTTTCGACACCAAGAAATTCAGCTACAAGTTGTTCAAGTTCAATATGATAACGTTGAGTACCTATCAGTTAAATAAAATAAGGGGGTTATTTATGTCATCCATATGTTGAGTCAATATAACTCTTAAAACGACTAATCACATAAATAGAAACAATCATACGTATTCTCAAAAAATATGAGAACAGTCATAGAGTAAAATTCGCTGAAAGAAGAAAAGAAAAAGTACAAATTCCGTTAACAAAGTATTGCACTTGATTTAAACAAACAAACATATTACTCACCGATTTCCGATCGGGTACTACAGTTTGCAATAGCATATGATTTAAGTCCATTAATCGTATCTATAGCACATGGACCAGTTTTTTCAGCAAAACCCAAATAATTATATGAACCCAAATTAATAGCACTAACTGTTTTGCCTGTATATCTTAAAACATTAATATTATCAATAAAAGAAAATCTGTTATATAAGCATAAACTTACCTATATGTCCAATTATAATCATCGGATATCCGTTCTGTTAATTCAAATTGAGGACCTGGTACACTTGCAATTGGACGATTAAATATATCTCGAACACGAGTATACATATTTCGTGTATAAAAAGATTCATAACTTTGATAAAGTGGAACAAATCCCTTGAAAAGAATTATTGAATTATAAATGAGAAAAAAAAGTGTAATTCAATTTAACAAACCAGTGATGCATTAGGATCTACAGCACCACGTTTTTTTTCAATTTTTGATTGTCGTAAAAAATCTCGTAACCAACCAAATAAACATAAAATAGCATAACTAATATAAGTTAAAACAGCTGCATATAAAGGTGTTTCTTCAAATTCTTCACATTGAAGATCATCTTCATCAATAGATTTTGATTTATTATTATTATCGTAATTTATTTCTACATTTTTATTAACCTCAAAAATAGAAAAATCGAATACTAATATATACAATCGAATAGAAGTATTATATAGTTACCATTCTAAAATTAGTACTTTTCATTTGTATTCTGATTTTGATGATGAATCTACAATAATAAAAAGGTACGAGTTAGCAATGATAATTACTGTAATGAATCAATGTCGTTCTTTTTTGTGTACAATAGTCACTAACATATAGTCAGAGCACAGTGAAAAAAGAGACCATAAAAAAAAAAGAAAAGATAAAATAGGAGGTTAAGAAAAGAAAGAAAGAGAACGTTTCTATGTGTCATACACCGGTGAATAGGAAATAAAAACGGCTTTCGGAAGAAGACATTTTTTTTGTAAACATTTAACAATACAGTTACGATTTAATCGTAATACTAAAGCCAAAATCGAATTTAAATAAGCAGAAAAAAGCGGATGAGTCACGTAAAAATGGCGAGACATGACCATCCCAGAATCGGACCATATATGTATACACATACATCTATTGTGTGTAGAGAACGTATGTGGCTATGCCCTGTCGAGACAGAGAAAAAATTCTCCTATTCTCGTTCTTTTTCTTTCTGTTTTATTAAGATATATTTTGTTTTGTTTTGTTCTGTTCTTTTTACTTAGAAAAAGAAATAGATAGACATTATGATAATAAAAAAAAATGATTCATTTCAAAAGAAGAAAGCTGACGAAGAAGATGATTGTTGTATTCTTTTTTCAATAGAGGTCGTTTTGTTTCATTATTAATAGTTTTTACTATTTTATGATTAGTTCTTTTGTTTATCCATTGAAAATGAAAAGATTTTACTTACCACATATCCATTGAATTGAAGAGACATTTAAATTCGTTTTCATTATTTTAAATATGGATAATGATGATACATCTTCCAGTTACGATCAATATCGTGCTGATATGCAATCAATAATAGATTCTTATGTTAAATCTATTGATAGTATTTCTCCAATTAAACCACACGAATCTTGTACATATGCATTACATGAAAATGAAGGAAATAGACATAATCAAAAAGATTATCGTACCACATCTTTACAAAATCGAAAATATGCATCATCATCGAGTACATTGGATCGTGATCCAGCAAGATCAGATCATTTAACAGATGAAGTACGACGGTTATTAATACAAGATGGACCATATCAACCACGTGATGATGAAGATCATTTTCAAACAAGTGTGAAATCAACGCAAACTGGAAAAGGAATAGTACGCTTTCGTGTAAAATGGTTTGATGATATTCGATTTTCAGATTGGTTAGAGTATTCATTAACAACTTGTCGAGCTTACTGCTTCTATTGTCGATTATTTGCTGATTCAAATCGAAATCGAGCTTTTTCACGTGATGGTAGTTGCAATTTAGTTTTATCTAGTTAATATTTATTGATTATTTTATTCAATAGGTATCAAAAACTGGCGTAAATGTTTGGGTTCACGTGGTCAAAAGAAAAAACGTTCCATAGTTACATCTGATGATAATAATCTTGGATGTCAACGACGTGGTTTATTAGAATCACATGCAATGTCAGAATCCCATAAACAAGCATATAACAAATATCTTCAATTTCTTGATCAAAGACATACTGAAACACAAAGAAATGATGATAGACAACAAAACGGTAAAATACTGAGTTAATATACAGGAATCAATTAATTGAATATTAGCGTCCTATATTTTGAGAAGTTTTCCATTAGTAACGGATGAACATTTTCATCAAATTTATTGAAATAACAGCTATTCTAATTTAATAAAATCTTTTATTTTTAGGTGATATAATTATTCTGCATGATGTCAAACAAGAGAATAATATGTGATTAATAATTTTTGTACCTCGGTGTATTTCTGTTGTTATTTCATTTTTTTTTACTGTAAATATTTTTCTACATGGAAACATTCGTGAAAGGAACAATTAATTAATAATGTTCTTTTTTCCGCAATATATCAGATACATTTTTTTAAAAATTACATAAAGGATAATCATAATAAAATACAAAACATTTGATAAAAACTGTTAATTTTTTGTCTGAATTAAACCAGTTCTAGATGGAAGTATTAAAACGTAAAGCAAATGGTATTTCGTCTACAAATGGACATGGACAGAAGAAAAAGAAAAAAACAAAAATTATCGAAGAACAAGATTTAGAATCAGCTTATTTCCAATCAGAAATAGCTTTTCATTCGACTGTAACAAAAATGAAAGTAGGTATTTTTATGTTTAAAAAAAAACATTAAAATATCTAGCTCCAAAAATGAATATATTCCTGTTAATGTACGATGTAGATCAATCTCTCCGAAATGAAACAGTTTTCTTAATGAAATAAAATAATATTTCATCTCTTTTAAAGGTCAATGCATTGTTAAATGAAGTAACATTAAAAGAAAATCAACGTAATGAAATAGATCAATTTATTGAACAAATTTCAAATGAACTTAAATCAATTCCACAAGGCAAAATTCGAGAGGTAAATTTGAATTCATCTTTCCTCGTATTTTTCTTCAAATGTATTTTTTATTTAGTTATCAACAATGTCTGAATGGCTTGGAAAATTTGATATAAAAATTCCGTTGACATTTTCAAAAATGAATAAACCATTTCAATTTATTCCACCAACAGTTATTGAACCAATTGGTTCATATACTTATGATGGTTTAATAGTTAAATCATCAAATAAAATTTCAACAATTGTCGATTTACTTGTGGAAATTCCACATATATGTATTCATAAAAAGGATTATCTTAATAATGAATATATTGAAAAACGTGCTATATATCTTTGTTATTTAGCAAAAAAATTACAATATCTATTAGAATTTTCACATTTAAATGATACAACACTTAATCAAGCTGTTTTAATTGTAAAACCAAATGGTAATAAAACTATTTCTAAATTCTTAAGTTATCGAATGTGTATTATATCTTCATACAGATTAATACTATGTTGCGTAGTCTTATAGTGACTTAAGCCTGAACTATATTAGAATGTAGTATGCATAGACTGAATTCCACGTCTAAAAGATATTGTATATGCCAACGTCCAATGTCGGATTGAGGAGAAAAGTATCATAAAAACTTCAGTTTCTTACTGAAACGAAATCTGCTCATAATTCTTCGACTTTGAAATTAATTTTTTCATCGCTGATTATAAGACCGATGAAACTATGGTCTCAATATAGTTTACTGACAAGAATTAGAATATGATGTCGATCTTAAGACTAATCCAAGTTTTTTGCTCAATCCGACATTGGACGTAGTTTAAGTTTGAACGCTGCCATATATAAACAATATTTTAAAAATAATTTCCTTATCGATTCTTTTTAGAAACATCATCATTTGCAATTCGTATATTACTTGCACCAGAAAAAGATTATTTTAATGAGAAACGTTTATTACCAACATCAAGTAATCTACGTTGGAATTGGTTTAATGATATTAAAGACGAAAATGAACCATTCTATCCAACACCAAATTATAATTCATTAGTTTTATTTGATTGTCGTTATAGAGAAACATCTGATTATTTAAATAAAATATTTTCATCATCGAATGAATTATGTAATGGATTAAAATTATTTAAGATCTGGTTAGAACA